AAACTCTTTTTAAGGAGGAAAGACTGTGACAACCCTCACCTCTGATTAGTGTTAAACTGTGACTGAGCATGATAAGCAATTGATTAAACTGAAATTCCGAACTGATTGCATGTGTATGTTGCTTTAATTGCATCTCTATCTGTTTGCCATTAATTGATCTGTTCATGTTTTAAGTTTTGAACTGTAAATTGAAGGCCTTATCGGCGACCGAATCCGAAATTGATTTGTATTTTATGCTAATTAGAGTTTATGTGATTTTATGGTAAATTTAATTAAAATTCAATTTGGAATGATTAAATTAGATTAAATAATGTTAAATTACATTAGATTGAGTTATTATGAATTTGCCATTGAGTGGATTATGCTAGGCCACCACTTTTCTCACCCTTTACAATGTTTAGCATCATTTCCTCATTCATCTTCTTGAGCAAACCGAGTGAGAGAGGGAAATTTGGAGAAATTGAGTTCAACAAGAAATTTAGCTTGGAGACTTAGAAGACTTGAAGGGAATTTGCAAAATTGAGCTTGTATACTTTGAATTCAAGACCTAAGGTAGAGTTTTCATTCTCTCATTTGTGAATTTAAGTCATTTCTTGCATGGTTCATGGAAGTTGGTGATTAGAGTCTAGAATTGGCTCAAAGTGTTGTATTGAGTAGCTATGTGTGCATACTTGTACCTATCATGAAGTTTACGGTTGTTTTCCACGAAATTCTTCCATGCATGTCTAGATTATGGTCATAATCTAAGAATTCATCTTGTTTTTGGAGTCAATGGTTCATTTGATCAGGTGTTAGAAGCTTTGTTTTCAAATAAACACTTGCATGGTGCATTTACATCATGTTCTTGAAATTTGGGTTGAAATTGTGTTCAATTGGCTTACCTTTGGGCTTGATTTTACAAATTAATCTTCAAAGACATGTTATACTATGAGTTTTCAAGTGTTTTCCAGTAAATTGGCCCAAATGGTTGAGTTTTGATGTGTTGAATGCTTGGTTTGAGCTTGGGAGGCAAATTTAGAAATTCTAGATTTTGGCTTCCACGCTCGAGCGATCATCTTTTGTTCAGAGCTCCGCTCGAGCGAAGGAATGCTGGCTCAAGCGTAGATTGCAAGCTCTCAGATGTTTGGTACACGCAGACGCACGCTCAAGCGACGAGACCTACACTCGAGCGAAGGATGTGTCTCACGCTCGAGCGAGCATCGAGCGGAGATTTTCAACATCCAGCACTTTTTGCATTTTTACAGACCGCTCGAGCGAGGAAGTCCATGCTCGAGCAATCCCACTGTTTTGGTACGCTCGCTCGAGCGAAGAATGCCATGCTCGAGTGAGACCCCTGTTTCAGCAAAAATTTGAAAAGTGTTTTAAAGTGCATTTTTGCATCCTCATTCCATCCTACGCATTCCTAGGCCTAGTTTAAGGCATCTTAATGAGGATAATGTCATAGAACCACACCAAGTATAATTAGGGGCTAAGTTATTAATCCCGAGTGTGTGTTCGTTCTGCAACTGTAAGGTTGGCATCTGAGGACGCTCGTTAGCTTGTCTATAGCCCAGTGCTCTGTGAGTAACAATGTTGTAAAAATATGTTCAATTATGATTATTTTTTGAATGATCGACTGTTCTGCTTACTGAAACGTTATTGTTTAATGAATGAATGTTTGTCCTATTTGTAAACTGTATCTGTGGCATCTATAGCAATTTACTATTACTGTACTGTTACTGCTACTGTCACAGAGATCTCTGTCGGTTCCCATGTTCGGAACTACTACTGTTTACTGTTATGATGGCCATCAACTGACTGTTCAGTCTGTTAAGACCTACTGTACTGTTTTGCTATGGAATGTACCACATGTGACTACTATGGCCCTTAATGACTGATTTACTGATGCAATTGACTGTTTAATTACTGAAAGGACATTCATTCTTAACCTCTTTACACTGCTGTTATTCACTAGCTTTAGCTCACTGTTTATATATATATATATATGTAGGTGTCCAGGCACCGGATCGGAGCTAGGAGCGTCGGGTTAGCTCTTGTTTTGTCAAGCCAACCTTTGCGCCTCGCCTCGAGGTTCCAAGTCCGTTCAAGCCATGGCTGTTTTGGGGTGTTCAGATTCACCCTTCTGTTTCTGTTTTGTAATAGACGAATAAGACTTAACTGTACAGTTGGTTAGGGATTTGGTCCCTGACATGGGTGTTTGTGTATATGTCGCATGTATATATGTTTTGTTTATGAATGTGGTTTGTTTATAAAATTCTTTTTGCATTCAGACTGTCATAGCTCATTGGACATCTTTTGTTTACTGTTTTGGCTTCCACCAGCCTCTTTACTCTGTATTTCTGTCATTACTGTCAAGAAGGCCTTCGGTAATCACGGATTACTGGCCGGTTGCGATGCTAAACCCCTATGGGCGGGTTTGGGTTGTGACACCATTGTAATGGAGGAGAAGAAGAAGAAAGAAAGAAAAGGGATTAAAAAAAAAAAAGTCATCGAAATCCATGGTGTGGCCAGAAAAAGAGAAAAGAAAAATTATTTGGAAGCTATGGTGTTGTTTGCGTTTATGTTGACAGATGGGTGATGGTGTGGTCATGGGTCTTGGGATGTAAGGTGTTGGAAGTGTTTTGTAGAGGGGAGAGAGAGAGAGATGAACAGTAGAGAGAGTTTACTGTTAAATGAGGGATTTGACTGGTGGTAACTAGTTAGCTGTTTTGATTTTGAAAGGCTAAGATTTAAGATTCCAATCTTATGGTTGAAAATTATTTCCCTGTATGACATCTAAACACCACTTTTTGGATACCATAGTTGGACCCGTCTTTGAAATGTCTGCGTTTCATTTGAAGGCTCATAAAAATCAGCTAGTTGTAAAATTATTGAACAGTTATTTTACGTAACTCGAATCCTCCGTTTCTCGAATTCTCTGAATTTAAAACATCGTTTCGTCGTTTTGAGATATGGATATAATTATATATTTTGCAAGATATGAATGTTCACATCATTAGTTATTTGTTACTATACTTATTGTTTGAACAATTACTTTTTATTACCATTAAACAATTGAAATAGTCATTTTTTTCCTTTCAATTTTATTTCATGCTGCAGTGTGAATGTTCACATTGGTATGAATTTAGTTTTTCTAAGGTTAGTTATATGTTAATTGTAAATTGTCAACATTCACATTGTATTTTAGTACGAGTTTTTTTTTTTTTTTGAATTTTTTTTCGAAAGTTAGTTGTATTTTGTTGTTGTTGTTGTTTTTTTTTTTTGGTAATTGTTGGTTGGACAATCATTTTTATTACCATTGAATAATTAAAATAGTCGATTTTCATTTTTTTCAATTTTATTTTATGTTTTCACGCTGAAGTGTGAATGTTCACATTTGTATGATTTTTTTTTTTTTTAACTAGTTGTATATTAATTGTAAATTGTGAACATTCACATTGTATTTTAGTATAAATTTTGTTTTTTCGAAAGTCAATTATATGTTTGTTGTTTTTGTCATTGTTTTTAGTTGAACAATTATTTTTGTTACCATTGAACAATTGAATTTTCACTTTTTTTAATTTTGTTTTATGTTTTCACGTTGCAGTGTAAATGTTTACATTGGTATGAGCTATTTTTTTTAAGGCTAGTTGTATATTAATTATAAATTGTGAGCATTCATATTGTATTTTGGTATAAATTTTATTTTTTCGAAGGTTAGTTGTATGTATGTTATTTATTGTGAACATTCATATTGTACTTTAGTATGTGTTTTGTTTTTTCAAAAGTTAGTTGTACATTTGTTGTTTACTGTGAACATTCATATTGTATTTTGATTTTCATTCATATTTTTTGTTGCATTACTTTTAAAATTTTCAAATTATAAAAGGTTCAAAGTTCATAATTTGATATTTTCTCTAGGGAATGTGAGAGAGATTTTCTCCTCAGAATAATGAAAAGATTTTCTCCATAGAATAAGTGAAATATGTTGTCTTTAGAATGAGGGAGATATTTTCTTCATAAAATAAGGAACTATTGTTATGTGTATTTGTTTTAAAATAGAAACATGTACAAAAAATTAGAAAAGATGATTTGGTCATATTACATTAAACAGGACTTAATGGAATACTTAAAAAGATTGTGAGTTAGATGAAATAAAACATTTACAAAGAAAATTTATCAAAAAATTTTTATGATAGTAGAGATATTTAATATTATTTAATGGACTTTTAACAGAACCCTTCAACAATACATGAGTAATATTTGACTAAGAAAATTAGAATATGAGAGTTGTGTACATTATATTCCTTATGTGATGAATTATTGAATTTCAAGAAAATGTGTGATACGAAATGAAGAACTACAAAAAGAAATTTAGACTAAAACTGCAAAATGGGTAAGATTGTCTATCTGTCATCCTAATGTTGATTAAATCCAAACATAAAATATAGGCTATGTTTGGGATAATTTTTTTTTTTGGCTATTTTAGCCACAAAAGGATAAAATAGATTAAAAAATTCATAAGATAAAATGTCACATTCAAATCATAATTATTTTATTTTTTTCTATCAGAAAAATCAAAAAAGTCAAAAAAATCTATCACAAATAAAAATTTTTGGCCCTAAGTTAAAATAACCAAAAACTTAAAAAATTAAAAAATCAACTCACATCCCAAATAAATGCATAATAGACATAATCTAAAAGAATTAAAACTAACAATCTTAAAAATATTAAGACAATCTAATCTAATCGAGATGGCACAATCAAACTTGGCTTAATTGTCATGGAACGAGTGTGATTTATATAACGACAATGCTACGTAGTTCAAATTTTGTGGCTTAAAAGTGGCTCAAATGGCCAAAACGACGTCGTTTTGAGTACAGAACAACATAAAAATGGCCAAAACGACGTCGTTTTGGCCATTTAAGCCACTTTTAAACCACAAAATTTGAGTTACGGGACATTTTTCTTTATATAATTTGATGTCTACGTATACTGCGTACTATTAAGTGGAATCTCTCTCTCTCTCTCTATTTCTCTCTCAGAGCCTCTCCATGTTTGGGGGAAAAATTCTCTTGGCAGGGTACACAACCCTTGTTGTTCTTGTCCTGTCTTCTGTAAATTGCTATGCTAGGAAAAGTCACCACCACTGTGACCCTTCTTCGTGTGGAAATATTGATAAAATCACCCTTCCCTTTAGATTGAAAGGCGATCCAAAAAACTGCGGAGTCAAGAAGTATGAATTGGAGTGCGAGAATAATCGCACAGTTTTACAGTTATTCTCTGGAAAATACTACGTGGAGGAGATCAACTACCACAACCATACAATCAGAGTTGTGGATGTGGGCATACACAAGGACGATTGCTTCTCTCTTCCTCTTCACTCTTTGACACAAAACAACTTTAATAAGTACCACCATTACCGTGACTATCCATATCATTTGATTCCATTTTATTTGAGGTACGAATATGAAAGTAGTCTAGTAGTGTTCATGAATTGTGAGAAGCCAGTGAAGTCTCCCCTCTACATACACAATATTTGTAGCAAAGGAGGAGGAAATTCTTCGGGCTCTGTAAAAGGGCAATATTTGTACGTTGTGGTGGGGGGTGACTTGAAGGTGTCAGATGTGGCGGATTTGTGTACGGTGGAGATGATGGTTCCGATTGCACAGCCGCCGTTGTTGATGAGTGGTGAAAATCGTGGGAACATTTCCATTTCCTTCTTGGACGTCCACAATGCCATGGCTGATGGATTTGAGCTTTACTTTGACAGCTACTACTACAACTACTACTACTACGCTTTCTGTCCACCGAATTGGTCTTCCTTCCATTGTGCGTAAAATTTTTTTCTTCTTAATGCTTTCCTCAATTCTAATTCAATTTCTTCATTCGCTAATAATATGAACAAATAAAAATATTCCTTTTTCTTTTTCTTTTTCTTTTTTTTTTTTCATTGTAAAATAGGAAAATATTTCTCTAAATAGCTTCAGGACCATCATCTTTTGGAAAAGAAAATTTTACTTGTTTGAAAACATCAATTTTCAATTTTGTCATTTTGCAGGCCTCAACTTGAAAATTTTAAACTATTTTTTTTAAATATTTTAAAAAAATCAAACTATTTAACAAAAAAACCCACTTTTTACACTATTTAATTAACCTATTTTTTAAAAACGCAAGTTCAAAATGCGAGTCCGTTATGAAATCGCATATTCAAAATGTAATTTTATAATACGATTTCATATTGATTTAACTTACTAATATATAAATGTGGGCCATGCTAATATGAAATTACATGTTCAAAACGTGATTACACCACGAAATCGTAATTTGAAATTGCGATTTTAAAAAGTGAATTAGTTTGATAAATAATATAAAAAGTTAGTTATTTACATAAATAATTTAATTTTATGAAATATTTCACAAAAAAAAACTCATAGCATAACTCTTTTACTTTTTAGGATTAGCTTTCTATTTTGCGATTTTTAGCCTCAAGTGAAAACTTTTAATATTTGAAAAAAGAGAAATTTTACTGTTTTGGGTAATAGTGAGTACAGTGAATATTCATCAATTTTTTTTTTAGTATTTATTAGAAAACAAAAGATCTCAAAGAGAGAATTCCAAAAATTCAATTTTATCAAAAACGAAGATATACATGAAAGTTATATTTGGTTCCAAAATTGAGTCCACTTTTCAGAAAACTAGGTCTGTTTTTAGTGAATTTTTTAAAAATATTTTACACAAATTTTTTATTTTTTAAATACACCTAATCTAAATATGCTTAAAAACTATAATATTTGTGATATTTTTATATAAAAAAAATTCACTAAATACAATACATTTTTCTATTTTGTTGTATTCAATGAATTTTTAAAAAATTTCTATACAATTTTTTTACTTTTTAAGTATATTAAGATTAAGTGAATCTAATTTTTTTTAAAAATGATTAAAATATTTTAAAATATTATTAAAAATATAAAAATATGAATTGAAAAGTTAAAAAATTATTTTTGAAAACTCAAAACCAAACCGAATAAATTTTCAAGTTGTTAAACAATTCAGAAACGAAAAACAGTGCTACATTTATGCTGGGAAATGCTATGACACCATATGCGTGGTATGACAAAATATGTAATTTTATTATAAAATTTTGAAATATTAATTATAAAATGCATAATCTCGTCACAAATTAATATAATAAAAAATGTCGTAATCAAATTACAAACTTTTACAACACCAATCATAAAATTTTAAATATTTTATTATGTCAATTTATAGCGATATTATGCATTTTATAATTAATATTTTAAAATTTTATAGTAAAATTATATATTTTTATAATAGAATGCATATGATATGCACTTTAAAGAGATGCACAGCATAGAATTTCCCATCTATGTTGCATTATTGTATAAGAGTATTTTTATATAAATCAAGCCCCCTAACTATTAGAGGACAGGAATTAGGAAACCTGTTTTTGTCCAAATAAAAAATCCTTTATTTCGTTTGACCTCGGGAAAAAAAAAAAAATTTCTTTAATTTTTTTCCTATTTAAGCTATCATGTTTTAAATTACCCTCAATCTCAACCATCAGTCGAACCTGCTAACTTGTCTAACAGAAGAATTTTTTTGCAAAGCATGTGACATTCTCTTATTTGTTCTTTCAACTTAAGTTGTTTTCTATTCATAGATGTGGATAGAAATTTAAAGGAGGAGAATCCTTTCAGTCTAGATTTTGGATTAGACGGTGTTGTTTGGTTTCATAAGGCTCATAATAGGTTCTGTTTTGATGATTTGAATAATTTATTTTGTTGGACACTTCGTGTATTTCATCTACAAAAAGAAATCAGGTCGATCTGATAATTATAACTTGTTTAATTTTTCACTAAAAAAATATAACAAGTTATAGTTATCGGATCAATCTAATTTTTTATGTCAATGAAATAGACAAAGTGTCTGACAAAATAAACAGCTCAGATCATCAAAATAAGACTCGTAGTGGATCACACGGGCTCAAACAACGCCCTCCACCAAACTTGAGGGGATCCTAATCTACATTTAAAAGTAAAAAACAAAAGCGAGGATACATAACAAAAATATGTGATATACATACGTATATTGCACATAGCATGCATTAAGTGAGCGACGACTAGTAAAAGACAAGCTCGAGCGGAAAAATCCTCTCTAGTCCACTTTTTACATTGAAAGATGTTTGGATATGTGAGATTTTAACGGGTCAAATTTTGGTGATTTGCATTATTTATTTTGTACACATTAATTTAAAAAATTAAATTAATTTAATAATTGACCACATGACTTTATGATATTTATTTTCAAAAATGAATGTCATTAACATTTGTTTTCTTAAAACAAATATGATAAAATTATTTGGATATAATTATCAATTTTTATTTTTATTTTTTTCATAGAGCATTTGACATCCCATAATGTGAATAATGGAGAAAGTAGAATGCCTTATACCCAATATGGAAAATGCTATGGTGTGCACTCCTTTAGAGGTGTATACCATATGCACCCTATAAAATGTATAATTTTATTTTAAAATTTTGTAACATTAATTATAAAATATATAATCTCGTCACAAATTAGTGTAACAAAAAATATCGTAACCAAGCCATAAACTATTGCAATATAAACCACAAATTTTTGAACATTTTATTATGTTAATTTATGACGAGATTATACATTTTGTAATTGATATATGAAATTTTATAATAAAATTATATATTTTTATGATAAAATACATATGGTACGTACCCTAAAGAGATACACAACATAGGATTTCTCATCTATGTTACATTATTGTATAAGAGTATTTTCATATGAATCTAACCCCCTAACTATTAGAGGGCAGGAATTAGGAAACCTGTTTTTGTCCAATTAAAAATCCTTTATTTAGTTTGACCTCGAAAAAAAAAAAAAAAAAGGCTTTTGCAAGGCATGTTGTGGCAAAAGCATGTGGCTTTTTCATGATTCTTTAATTTTTTTCTATTTAAACTTTGATGTGTTAAATTACTCTTAATCTCAGCCATTCATCGAACCTGCTAACTTGTCTAACACAGGAATTTTTTCGCAAAGCATGTGGCATTCTCTCATTTTTTATTTCAACTTAAGTTGTTTTTTTATTGATAGATGTGGATAAAAATTTAAAAGTAAAGAGAAAAAGCGAGAAAAATGAAAAAAATCAGGTTATATTTTATTTTCTCTCACCTCTTTCTTTTTTTATTTTTAAATTTCTAACCAAATTTATAATTTAAATACAATATTAATGCGAATCAGAATTTAACCCTAACGATACCAAATAACCGTCACTCCTTAATAACCACCTCAACCATCCATCTCAGTGCCACCATACACTTAGACTAAACTGTATTAGTTCCTCCCTTTCCTTCCCTTTACCGACAACCCTCTTCCATTTCCCTTCCTCCACAGCCACATATTATCCATCACATTTGCATATAATAAGCCGATATTTAAGAGTTGTAAACAATTTATTGTACTGATTCAATTTCTTCCTTTTCTAAGATCTTCTCATTCCCCCACTGCCATCTACTACACATCTTAACCCATATTTACATACACTCATATTGTGTTTGGTTGGGAGATTTTGAGATGGATTTAGAAAGAGAAAGAGAAAGAGAAAATATAAGTGAAATTTAAATAAAATATAATTACATTTCACCTAATTTCACACACTTTTTCTCTTTTTTTCTCCAAATTCCCCAATCAAACACGGCGTCAGTGCATCAATAAACCGATATGTAAGAGTGGTAAATTGTATGTTGTGCTGATTCAACTTATTCCTCTTCTAAGATCTTCATATTCAAATCACAGATAGTCTATCGGTATCTAGCAACTCAACATGGATTCGACATTCTGAATTAAAACAAACTATGCTCCAAATCCACCTAATAGAGAACTATTTCTAGAATCAAAACTAGGGGTGTAGGTGGGGAATGATAGGGGAGGCATTGGTGGCGGCAAGAAAGGTAGGGAAATGGAAAAGATATTGGGTATGGCAAAGGCGATGGGAGACGGTGGGGATAGTTTGAGTTGTCTCTCCTAGTGTGAGATCGCGTTAAGAGCGATAAAGGAGGTGATGGTGGATATCTATATCTAGGGAAAGGCTATGGTGTGCAACCCCTTCAAGAGTGCATACTATACGTATTCTATTATAAATTGACGTAGTTTTATTATAAAATTTTGTAACATCAATTATAAAATGCATAACTTCACCATAAATAATATAACAAAATATTCACAATTTTATAGTTGATATTACAGAAGCTTGTGGTTTGATTACGACATTTTTGTTACGTCAATTTGTGGCTAGATTATATATTCTATGATTGATGTTACAAATTTTTTTAATAAAGTTATGTTTATTTGTGGTAAGGTGCATATGACACCATTGGATTTTTCCTATAATCTATACAATATATCTAAAGCAACGGCCTTAGTGGTATCGTAAAGCCTTTTCTTCTCCTCATACTACGTGACTGATTTTTCTATTTTAAAACAAAAAGATTATTCAAAGAGATGGGCAAAGAATAAACCCAAGACCTTATGTTTAACTAAAAAGATTCTTACCACTTAGGCAACATTTGTTTTATAATATTAGTTTGTTATCATTTATTTTTATTCTTATTTGAATTACATATTCATTCCGTGTGCCACCCGCTAGTTATATTAGTGAACAAATCACTTTGTTTCTTGAAGTTTCTTATCTCCTTTTATCAAGTGGCCATTTTTCCAATTAAAAAAAAAAAAATAGATAAAAGGAAGAAGTGAGACTTGAACCCTTAGACCTAATGTTTGATGAAGAAGATTCTTACCAATTGACTAACACACAACATATAATAAGTAATTTATTTTTATGTTATTTATTTGAATTGCACAAGTATTACATATGCCAACTGTTAGTATAATATATGGGTAATTCTATTTCCACATACTAAACCCTTTCATTACACATCTCTTTACAAGGCACACAATTAATGATTTTCAAATATCAAATTTTGCTCAATAGATATCCTTTCTTGTAAAAAAATACCTCTAACTCCTTCAACCGAACCTAACCCTAGCTACCACTCGCTACCACCATGAACCACGGCGAACTCTGGCCACCATCGCGAGCATCCTATCTCACTTCCGCTGCTACTACCATCTCCGGTGGCCCTCCTCAATCCTTCCCAACGACCCTCTTTGCACCTCCTCTCCTACCAAATCCTCTTCGATACGCTTCCTACAACCCTTGCCGCTTGTAACTCCTTCACCTGCAACACACCAATCCTACCCACACTCTAGCGACCACGATATAGAGAGATTCACAAAGAGAGATCGCACGACTAGGGTTTTGAAATAAAGAGTGATAGCCAGTAACTAGGGTTTCATAGAGAGAGAAGTTGCAACTATGATTTTGACAAAATGAAGAGTGGTGGTTGGAGGGTACCAGAGAGGGGCTACAAAGTTTGCAATGGTAGGAAACTCATGGCAATAGGGATTTTACGGAGACAAAGTTGCAGCAATGGTGGTTCGTCGCGGCGACAGCTAGGGTTAGGTTTAGAAGGAAATTGGGATTTTGGTGGAGAAGATAATGATATTTTGTTAATTTTATTTTAGGACAAAATTGTAATTAAATAAAATATCATTAAATGTGTGAACAAAGAAAAAATGGGATGTGAAAATAGAAGCACCCATAATATATGCATACTATATATGTTTGTGGTGAATAAATTGACAAAATCATCCTTCTTTGTTATTGCCTCTAAATCAAGATAGATGGATGGTTTGAATTGGACCAATTTAAAAGTTTTTAAGATTCAAACTGTAATTTGAATAAATGAAAACCATGGTGTCTTATTTGTAACAATAATCAGAGCTTGGGGTTTATTTTATAATTTGTCAATAATTTTCTGATTCCACCCTGTTTCATTATTATAATATGTGGGGCATGAAGTTTAATTCATTAATTTTTAAAAATGTCCTAAAGTAATTGTTGAAATTAGAATTTAGCGAAATCTCTTAAAAAAATCATCTCCATTAGTTTGTCATTCTTCTTGTCAAATTATATTATTGTCAAATGTTATGACACATTTAGCACAAGTTTTTGACAATTACTAAAAATTTGTAAAATTCTTTCTTTTTACACCTTTCATAATACAACTTACAAAATAATATTTATATTTGTTATTTTATAAGAAAATATAATATACGATAATTCCACCATTAAAAAACACTTTCCAAGATAAAACATTTAGCTATATAACATGTTAAAATTAATTTTAACATTTAGGGTAAATTACACGAACCTCCCTTGATGTTTGATAAAAATAAAATAAGTCTTACAGTTTTGATATAATTATATTGACTCCCTTTTAATAAGGTTAAATGAAACAAAACTAATGCAATAGTTCAAAAATATAAAAATAAATAACTTAAAATATATGTTTTATGTAAAATAGAAGACAATGTTACGTTTTTTTCATCTAATAACTAACAAATTATTAATGAAAATGAAATTAAGTGTTATATAAATTAAAATTTTAAAAAAACACTATAATTTTATTAAAATTGTGAAATTTATTATATTTTCTCTAAATTTGATGAGCGATCGGTTAATTTACCCTAACATTAATTATTAAAGATGTTTTAAGATACAAATGACTGCCAAGAGTAATGCTTTTTGTTGGCTGACATAATTTTTTTTCCCTTTAAAATAATGCAGGCCTCATGTGGAAGATCCCTTTTTGTAAGTTTTCTTCCTTCATCCATTCATATCAGAAACGTTCTTAGCTCTTAGCTAGGGTTTGGTTTACTTAAATGAATTGGAATATAATGATGATTTTATTAAAATAATTATTGATATGTTTGAGTTGAATAAAATAATAATGAGAAATATTACAAATAGAATCATTTTATATCATTTTAAAGGAATTGTCATTCCATAAAAAACCTTGGAAAAATTACTTGTCATTGGACATAAAAAAAAGAAAAGAAAAAAGAAATTACACAAACGTGGAGGGGTGCAACTTTTCATTTGCACCTCATCACAAAATCACTTGCATGTTCTATGTCTTTGTATCTTTTTTTTTTCCCCTCTGTTCCACTGTTAAGTAATTCCTCCAAAAAAACTTAAAGAATCACCATTTCTTACAATTTTCTCTCATCCCAATGAACCACATAGAGTATTAGTTTTTTTAGGATAAATTACAACAGTACCGCTACATCCACTGAATTTTCCTCTGCCCGAATTACCCAATGAATATCTTACATGTAGGATATTCATTTTTACCTGGTTGATTCATTTGAGCAATTTTGACAAAGGAAAATTCAATATATCAAACATTTTTGAAATTACAAACACTTCATAAGATTTACTTAAAGTATAGAATATTCCTACAGTTTTGAAATTACAAATACATCATTATCAAAAAAAATTATTTAACATAAATAATAGAAAAAATAAAATTTCTAACTACTCTCCTATACAACAATAAAATTACTAAAATTGTTAATTAAAAAATATTTTTTTATTAAAAACTATTAATTGATTTAATAATTTATTAATAAAAAGAGTCACTCGTTATGAATTATAATTTGAAAGAGCGGAATGTAATTTTCAAACCCACAAAAAACAATTCGTATTTTAAGCAAATCTCAGAAAGCGATAACCTATTTTTTTCACCATAACCAACCTTTAAGATAGAGCTCTTTATACCAATACCAAACCAAGCCTTAAGTCCCATGAAATGGGGTCGGCTATATGAATCTTTCTTCTCTACTCGACTCTATCAAAAGCCATTTGGTTAGCCAAACTAAGGAGATTCATATCTTTATTTACTACACTAGTGCATGTCAATTTAGGTTTGTCCTTCTCCTAATACTTCCCTCTACCGTCACATCATCGCACCTCTTCATTATTGTCTCTGTTGGTCTCCGTTGTACATGACCGAACCATTTCAATCTATTCTCTCTTAGCTTATCTTCTATCGCTGCTATTCCTGCTCATTCATGAATATACTCATTCCTAATTCTGTCTTTTCTAGTCTTGCCACACATCCACCTTAGCATCCTCATCTCAGCCACATTTATCTTATCTACACATTGTTTCTTGGTTTCCCAACATTTTATCACATACAATATCGCTAATCTAATAGCCATTCTATAGAACTTTCCTTCTAATCTAGTGGGTACTTATTTATCACACAGTACCCCAGACACACTCCTCCACTTAAACCACCTCATCTTAATTTAATGGACCACATCTACTCTTAATCTCCCTAGCTGTTTTGGTAATCAATCATAAATAACGAAAGTTCTCAATCTTCACTTCTCCTCTGTTTCCATTATTACTATTACTAAAATTACAGTTCATGTACTTTGTCTTAGTTCTGTTTATCCTAAATACTTTAGATTCAAGTGTTTCTCTCCAAGTCTTGTTAAACACATTTTCTAGTCTCATCCACTAACATAATATCATCTACAAAAAGCATACACTATGGTACATCATTCTGAATATTTTTTGTCAACTCACCCGTAACTAAAGCAAAAAGATAAGGATTTAAGATTGATTCTTGGTGTAACCCCACAGTAATTGAAAATTGTAACTGATGATCTAATAGTTTTCATGACACCTTATACATGTCCCTAATAACATCAATGTGGCCTTTTGTCACCCATTTCTTCTCTAACACTCACTAGATTATATCCCAAAGCACCCTATCATATGCTTTCTCAAGATCAATAAAAACCATATGAATACCTCTTTTCTTCTTTCTATACTTATCTGTTACTCTTTTCAAAAGATAGATCACTTCCATTGTTGACCTATCGGGCATAAATCTAAATTGATTCTCTAACACTTTTGTTATATCTCGCAATTGGCATTCCATCAATCTCCTACACTTTCATTATATGACATATTAGCTTGATTCCTCTATAGTTGTTGCAATTCTGGACATCTCCTTTATTTTTATAGATTGGCACTAAAATACTCGTCATCCACTCCTCTAGCATTTTCCTAGTCAACAAAATATTGCTAAATAACCTAGTCAACCAAGCAACCTCTTCTTACCCAAACATTTCCAAGCTTCAATAAGGATATCATCGAGTCCTAGAGCCTTATTCGATTTCATCTTCTTAAGTACAATCTCCATTTCAAAATACCTAATCCTGCAATAGAACATATAGTTTTGGTTTTCCTTATTACCGGTTACTTCCTCCCTCTTTGACATTTCTCTATGTTCCTCATTTAACAACTTGTCAACATAGTTCTTCCACCTCTCTTTAATCTCTTCATCCTTCACCAACACCTTAGACTCCTCACTCTTGATGTACTTAACCTGATTAAAATATCATGTTTTCCTCTCTTTTCTCTTAGCAAGTTTGTATATTCTTTTCTCTCCCTACTTATTATCAAGTCTAGTGTATAGATCATCATAGGCTTTCAATTTAGCCTCTCTCACTACTTTTTAGATCTCTTTCTTAGCCAATCTGTAGCTCTTAAGATTTCTTCAGTTCTATCCTTCTGCCACTTTTTAAAGCACTCTTTTTTCGTCTTTACTACCGCTTGAATCTCATTCCTCCACCATTAAGTTTCTTTAGAGTTGGGTCCCTTTCTTTTTACTCTCTAAGGACTTCCCTTGAGATTCTCCTTATATAATTGGTCATCGAGTTCCACATAGTGTTAGCATCATCTTCCAAATCCCAAGTACCTTCTTCATCCATTTTATTCTTAACTATTTATAATTTAATCCCTTTAGATCCCACCATGTCATCTTACAACGCCCACTATCCGTCATAGCTTGGTGCTTCCCTTTAAACCCTAAATCTAGTACCCAAATCCTATGTTGGAATTAGCTCCCCTTCATATTTCATCTATCTATAGCTCTCCATATTCTTCTTGTTGGCTCTAACCCTGTTGGCTATTTTGATACTTCAAAGGATAAAAATGTAATTGTCGCGTACCAGCAATGATCAAAAAATTCCTTACAGAATTTATAAGGCAATTTAATTTACTTGTCAGGCGATTGTGATTAGGTTCTTTTAGCCTCAATCAAGAGCCTTTACAGGTTGTATTTTAGTAAGAAAAAATGCAATATAACTTGAATTTGAAATAGAATGGTAGGAAGAGACTAAACAAAAAATGTAATTGATTAATTGAATAAAATGTTACCTTTAGTAAGGATAACTTTGAATACAAGAGTTACTTTAATCTACTTCTATGAAAAGTAAGTGCAATGCTGAAATTTAAAGATATATGAAATGATAAAGACGTAGAGTTTGGATTTATTCCAAGTACCTTTTCATCTTTGCTTACATCTATTTATATCCTTCTCTTGGCCTGCAAAGTAGTTAAGTTGCTTTTCCTTACCATAATCTCCTTTTTTGTAGCTATTTCTTAGGGTCACTTCTTCTCTTTATGCGTGCAAAACCACTAATAACTGTCGTCTTGATAACTTATTTCCCTTGTGCTCTTCAAGTGTTGAATAACTACCTCTCAATTGCACAAACTCACATCAACTACTCACGTGAGTTGCTTTGAAGGTGGGTTTCGTTAATGACTTGGGCATCTGCATAATTACCCTTGCTTGCCAAGTGTCACCTTCTAACATGATGATTAAATTATGGCACCAACAATACCTTCTGCACTAGTGTAAGCAATATGGGTTACACTAGTGGTTCTAACTTCTAGTGCTTCGTTTTCTCCACAACCTCCACTTCCTTAAGTTTAGCTACCTTTATCAATGTTCTTTTCCATCATGATCTTTTGGCTTGCACTTCTAAATTTTTGTATTTAAGAGCAAATAATCGTAGAGACTTAGAATCATCAGCCTTTGACTATCGATCTTTGCCTAAAACATTTATCTTCAGAGGCTTTGAACTATTGCTGGTCTTAGTCAAATGTCTAATAAGGTTCAGGAAGATGTAGGATTTTGCAGTGCTAATGCAACTATTCTTTCTAACTATCCAGCGTCTCCAGAGTTGGGTTTGCATCTCAAGGTTGTTCATTTTGGCTATCCTTCTCCTATCTTTCAGCCAAAACATTATACTATCCAAACACAAACTGCTCTTTTTTTCCTCTTACTTTGCAATCCTCTTCTTTGGGATGGGACACACCCACTTCTTCTTCCTCAACCAGCATTGCTACTAGTTGGGACACTTTGAGAGTCATGTTCAACACCTTGTATTTGTTTTAAGATTCATCATCATCTCTTGGAACGGGTTCATCCTTGCACTATCCCTTTCACTCACTAAAGTAGGGTTGTGTATCCCTACAAACCTCAGATTATTAGTGAAGAGGAAGCTGAAGAGGACTTACCAAAGGATACTACTAAACAACGTGCCCCAATCACACATCTGCAAGTAATCTTTCCTGTCTCATCTCCTATTGTTTTTCAAACCTCTACCCTAATAATTCTTCCACGTGTTGTTGATACCTTGAGCCAGACTGAACCTTTCAATTCTTCTTCACTTGATTCCCTAGTTCAAAGAATAGTGGAGAGCATCCTTTTCTCAGAGGCTGCTGTGGTTGAGATTTCTCAGTCAAAAATCTTACCAAGTTCCATACCTTTTAACAACACTCCTACACCTCAAGCACAGGATCAAACAACAATGGAGGAGAGCATAAAATCTCAAGCTAGCACCAGTGAAGCTATGGAAATGTCAGGGTCGGAGTTAATGGCATTTGAGCAAGAGCTTCAACAAATCATGATAGCTACACCTGTTTCTTTGTTATTGTCTGTTGAA